GATGCATTTACATGTCATTTCATTACTTACGATCTTCTATTTCACATAACACCTACCTATTTACCCCTGCCTATATGAATCAAAATCAAACTATTATGGTATAAATATTATAATTATGCCAAATACTATTATTGTTACTGATGGATTAAACTAATCCAGGTAATCTGAATTACTAATGGATTAAACCAAAAAGTGTATAGCTCAGAGAGACAAAGTCTTGTATTAATGCGTTATGAGAGTACAAAATATGTAATATGAAGACAAGAAGATGATGATAAGACAAGATGAATAGTATTATTTATACTAAAACTCCTCCATAACTGCCCCATGCGAAATGGGTAGGAGGTTATGGTCTCTTTTGACTGGGCCTTGGCTGGCTCGGTCGAGCTCATGAGCCTCGCAGACCCCCTAGGTCGAGCTTGAGTTGCTCGTGGCCGGCCTTAGGCCCTGAGGCCGCGTACGGGGTCGGCGTAGGGTCCCTCGAGGTCGACCTAGGGCCCCTCGAGGCGCCTTGGACCCCTCGGGGTCGACCTAGGGCCCCTCAAGGTCGGCCTTGGGCCCCTCGAGTTAGCATTAGGCTCCTCGGGTCGGTTCTCTCCAAACCTGTTCCTAATATATCCATCACAAAATCTGGTCACCTTCTTTTCTAGAAATAGCAACTAGAACTTGGTCGCCTTGTTTGGAGATGGTGACCAGATTTAGTCGCCATCTCGAGCAAAGTCCGGTCGCCTCTTGAGATTGCAACCAAATTTGGTCTCCTCTTTGGAGATGGCGACCAAAACCTGGTCGCTTTCTCTAGAGATGGCGACAATTTCTGGTCGGCGGTGGAATTGGAGGGTAGTCAAAGGCAATACAGTGGTAAAAAATGTAGGTTTACCTGTAACATGTTGGTTACTGGTAAATTGGATCTATTTGATTGATTTTAATGAGTTTGATGGTTTAATTGCAACGTTTAAATGTTCAGGGGTCTAATTTTTTTATCCTATAAAGTTCAATGGCCTATTTGACTCTTTTCCTTAATGAAAAGATAAATAAATTGGGTAGGGGTAATGGGCTCAAAAGTCTGCAACTTCTTTGCACTTTCTCAACTATTAATCTTATAATGTTTTTAGTAATTTATACTTGAAATTTATTCATATTACACAGGAACTCAGTTTACTTTTCATATCTCATTAACACCACTTTCACACCCCCAGCCTCCCCCTACACACCTTGTACACCCCACACTTTCACCGGCCCTACTAGTAGCATGACGGGGCACGCTCGTCCCCCGCAGCCATGCCTCGGCCTGGGGAGTGTGGATGGCTCAATATATCTATGAAATCTGATCCTTCTTGTGAGCCTATTTACTCCTCTCCTTCCAAGCACAATATAATATGACTCTCATATTTTTTTACTTAGGTAGAGTAGTATTGCTAATTCAATGGGCTAGTAGTCCCATAGCCCTATTATATATAATCTAACCCTAGGATTTTCATATAGACTAGAGAGGGGGGGGGGGGGTGAATAGACTTTCAAGCTTTTTCGCACAGCACAACAATTGCTAAGGCACAGAGAAACCAAAACTCTTAACTAGATTGTTAG